CTCCTTCCTCCTCCTATTTTCCCCACAACAACAACCCTGTGAGGTGAGTTGGGCTAAGAGATAGTGACTGGTCCAAAGTCACCCAGCTGGCTTTCATGCCCAAGGCGGGACTAGAACTCAAGGTCTCCTGGATTCTAGCCTAGCGCCTTCACCACTAGACCAAACTGGCTACAGTTAGATAATTGTGGCCACCATCTTGAGATTTTTGACACACCCCATTCCCCACCACCACAGGCACCACTGATGAAGAGTATAGAAATAATCAAATCCAGGTATACATTTATGAACTTTTATGACTCTTCTAAAGAATTGGGAAACCATTAATCTTACATTTATATTCGCATTAGCTGATAACAAAATCTGATACCAGTCAAGAAATCTGGGAAATTGAATTAAAAGGGGAATTATAAACCTTAATAGTTCATCCTTATAGAATTACCCCTCCCTGCCAAAAAGCCCCCACCACATGAATTATTCAGCCACTTCTTCTCCACAAAGTCTTGGACATTGGTAGCATCTTCAAGACTAACCAACTTTATTTTGAGCATAAGCTTTGGTGATCAGTAACTCATTTCATCAGATACATGGTTTCACTATGACAGGACTTTAAATGCAAAGAATTGAAGTGGGTAGGGTGGGGAAAACAAGGTGGGAAGCTAATGGGTCACAATCTAGCAGAGACTGAAAGGAAGATATAACAGAAGAAGGATGCAGGATTACCTTATCAATTAACAAATGTAGTAGGCTAAGAACCCACTATCCATGTTGAAGCCTTCTGTAATAGAGTAGAACTTTCTAATGTGCTCTCATTTAGTTGTCTCTGGTAATATTGTGGTTGCAAAGTTGCTCTGTTCCATCACTATTAATTACCTTGAGGTCAGTGATGGAAGGTCCTGGGAGGCTGAAATTTTCCCCACAGGCTACCCTGAAATTCTGCAGTTTGTAGGACAGAAGGGCGAGGGCAGAATCTGGGGATAATGAGATTATTCAGATAATTAATGTAACCTTTATTGGCAAAGGACAGGCCAAGGGAAG